TGGTTGGGGGGTGGGAGGGGAAGGGTGAATTTTCAGTGCTTTGCTCCTCCGAGCCTGCCAGGGCTTCCTTTTCAGCTGACTCCATCACCTTTTAGCAAGGTGCTGTGTTTTCATCCAAGTCAGTCAGTCAGTTGTGCATAGAAAAAAAGGTTGCTGGGTAAATTTGAAACCTCGGTAACACATTCCTCCATTTGTGTGTATTGTACGGCTTACTGGTGTATTCATTCCTTTGGCCTTCAACATTTCACAACTTTCCATAGGTCAGCCCGAGCAACAAGAACAGGTCCTGGTAGATTGAAAGATTCCTGCTTTCAGACATTCATGTTCACATCACTTTGCCTGTTGATTTCCTGATTTTTATTTATTTTTATTTTTTTAATTTTTATTTTTAATCAGCAACATCAAATGGGTCTTTGGAGGGCCTGGATAACCAGGAGGGAGGGGTGTGCCAGACAAAAACCATGAAGATCCTCATGAAAGTTGGACAAGGTAAAGACCATCTGCTGTTTCATGAAATCACTTTGATCACTCTCAGTGTCCTTTTAGCTTTCAGGCTTCTTATAGCAGTGTAGAGCAGATAGCCAACTGAATCTAGAGCGGTCATTCCTCCCTCGTGGTCTGAAAGCAAAACCTATTTTCTCTTCATCAGTTACTGACAGATTTCTGCAGGAGGAGGGCTAGCATAATAAGATCTCTTCATTGGAGAGATCCCTAGAAGGAAAGGTCACCTGGGAGTAGTGTGTTTCAGGCATTTTTATTTTTATTTTAAAAACAAAAGCCACAACTCTGCTGTTCAGAATTATTTAAAATACATGAAAGGAGGGAAGCTAATATTTCTATAGTTTGCTTGTTATGAATTCTGATTACAGAGAGGTTTTTGTTCATTGTTTCTTTTCACGTATAGATAACCTGTTGTGCAGGAACAAAGAATTATTCTTCTAAGTAGAAGTTGGTTTGGTAGTCAGTCAGCTTTCTTAGTTAAACTGAAATGTCATCTGCAGAGCTTTTCTTGCCAATTACAGGAGTCCCTATAGTTTCTGCAGACGGCCTCACAATTTAAACCTCCAAAATAACTGATATAACCATTTTGCTTTAAAAGGAAAATTACGGTCTTGTATCTCCCAGTCCTTTGCTTAAAGATTCTTCTGTTCAAAACCATTTGTGTCTCACAAGGTACCTAGAGCTGGCTTATAAAGCTCTGTATCATCAAGCGCTGAAGCTGCATGAGTTGTCTTTCTCTCCCATAGATCCCAACTCGGCCGGGCTGCCCCGGCACACGGACCCCACGAAGCGTCCTGAGCAGGAGGCTGGCACCAATGGGAAGAGTTCCACCACCAGCCCCTTTGTGAAGGACCACTCAGGTAGGTGTGGCAGGGCTTCCACCTGGGACGGGGCTCTGGCGAAGTCTCCTCCTTTGTCCTCAAACACATTTTATTTTACCATTGAAGTGCCAGAAAAACAAATGTTTTCATACTGAGATGAAGCAAAAGCCAGTTCTGATGCTCCAGTGGATAGTGTGTAGGAGCTGCAAGTTTTGGCAACAGCTGCTCTCTCCCCTCTTCCACTCTGCAGTAGAAGTTAATTACATCTTGTGAGAATATCACTCATTTACAGGAAAGTTTTTGGATAGGACGTTCACTAAGCAGCTTAGCGATGGTAAATGCTGCCTTACATTAGTAGTCTGGCAGATGAACGAGTCTTGCTGTCTTTCTCTTCCCGTATAATACATTATCAAGTGGTTCTCGACAGCCATTTATAAAGTTTCTTTCAAGGCATCTATAATTTATGTCCTGATCTTTTAACTGACCATATACAGTCTGCACGTGAATGGCTGGTCTTTCACTAAGTTTAAAGATATTTTTAATATATATATATATAATTATCTAAACAAGATAAACAGGTGGTTCCAAACAAATATCTTCAGGATGCATTTCAGACATTGGTTGGACAAGAAAATCCTAAGTCTTAAGACCGAAGGTCTCTGGAAGAAAATTTGATGAATTGGGAATGCTAGAAAGCAAAACTCAGTTGATTCTGAGGTCCCTGAAAATGGCTGCAAGTTTTCCTTTGTAGCTCTGTCATTCGTTACTGGGCTGATGAATCTTTGATATGGTGGTCGCTGGGCAGGCTTCAGCCATTTCCTACTGAGGTTCTGATAGGAAGAGTTTGCAGTTACCTGGACGTAGTGTCTGCATCATTTTTCCACCTGTGAGCGAGCATTAAGAGAGGGAAGGAAGTTAGTTGAAATTTTCAAGTGAGAAGGTGTTAAGTGAGCATTCGTTTAATTTTTGTGACAAATAATAGGATAGTGTGATGGCACCAAGTATTCAACAGGCTGTTCAGCACACGAGCTTTTCGTGACTAGCAAATACATGGTGGTTTCTTTTAAGTAAATATAAGTTAATACAAACAGATATATGTCATAGCTGTTTTGCCTATCTCCCACACTGCCTCAAGCTCCTTTTTTTCATGTGCAAGCAAGAGGAGTCCATGTGAAGAGGCACTAAGAAGGGTTTAACTTAAATCAATATGCAAAAGATAAAAGAGCAGAAGAACAATGTGACACTGAAGAGTACCAGTTGTCCTCAGAATTGTCATTTCCCTGTGTTATTTTCCCCTCGCAGTCCTATCCCACCCCTCTCTGCTGCTCGGGGCTGGCCGGCATCTGTTAAAAGATGCAGTGTGCATCAAAGGCTGCCTTGTCAGTGCAAGTCCTCTCTGCTGATGGATGATGATGTATGGAACAGGGTGGTTTAGGAGCAGCACAAAAGTGAGACCAACAGACACAAAGTCTTGTTTAATATTGATTGCTGACTTCGGCTGTTTGCATTTAGCTATCTAACAGGGTAATTGGTTTGTCAAAGTTTAGCTGTCAGTTAATTCTTCCAGTCTTGCTTACTCTACGCATTTTTAAGCAGCGTAAATGGGTCACAGGGTGGCAATAACTTTTGTCTGTTGTATTTCCGTTCTTTCCAGGAACTAGCACAGATGGCAGTAAGGCTGGGCATTCCAGTATACTGGGTTCAGAGGTGGCCTTATTTGCAGGGATTGCATCAGGGTGCATCATTTTCATCGTCATCATCATCACTTTGGTGGTTCTTTTGTTGAAGTACCGGAGAAGACACAGGAAGCATTCCCCGCAACACACGACAACTCTCTCACTTAGTACATTAGCCACCCCAAAACGCAGTGGCAACAACAATGGTTCTGAGCCCAGTGACATTATCATTCCTCTAAGGACTGCAGACAGTGTCTTTTGCCCCCACTATGAAAAGGTCAGCGGTGACTATGGACATCCGGTGTACATAGTTCAAGAGATGCCTCCTCAGAGTCCAGCAAACATTTATTACAAGGTCTGAGAAACACACAACCAACTCTGTGGTACAGTGGAGTCGTAGAGGAAACTCACTGGTCAAATGCTTTCTGTTGGGGTTTGTGATGATGCCTTGTGCACAAGCATTGACTCAAGCACGGGGGGGAGAAGGCGACAGCTGTTTCTCCGGGAGCCGACGTGAGCTGGACAGCTTACCTAGTCTGTAGAATTCCTATCTCGGTGAATAAGTATTCACTAAAAGCTGGAAGACTTTTATGTAGAAGATGCCCATTCCGATTGCTGTACTCTTGTTACATTCATCATTCTCAAAGCCATGTGCTGTGGGCGTTCAGGCATGTACAAAAGCCAAGGGAAGATGGAGTGATCCGTGGATGTTAATAGCTCTAGGCATCCTGGGAAGGTGCTCTAGGATATATCGAGCTTGAAATGCAATCTTCTGACTTCTGTGTGTCTCTCTCAGCGCGTACTGGATTTGTCACACAGACCTTGGTGTCTAAATAAGACTTGTTAAAGTTCTCTTGCTTTTAGTCTGTCACTGTTCCATTTGTTTCTGTTATCCAGGGCTCTGCCATCCTTCACATAAGATTTCCTTTCACTCCACCTCCTGAATCACTAATGGAACATTAATGTTTGGAGATGCACGCTCCATCCATCTGCTACAGCAGCCTCACTCGAATGGGTAATGCATTTATAGAAATTGTATTGGAAAGTAAGGAGCCTTCCAGCCAAAAAGTTAGGCTGTCAACAAAGTTAAGAGCAGGACTGGGTGGTGGAGGGAAGGGCTGACTGCAGTTGCAGTTGAATACTGCTGCCTCAAAAATAGAAGCTGGGAAGAAAAAAAAAGAAAAAAAAAAATTAGGTAGCACAGCACTTTGGTATGCTAAGTTTTAAGAGGCAAGTAGGAGACACAGTACACGCGCAGTGGATTAGGGCTGCATTTGAAGGAATTCATGGTTATCAAATACCAGTGTGCAGAAAAAAAAGATACCTTAAATACAGTAGAACAAAGGGGTATTGTTAGTAAGTGAACGAGCTTGGAGGGGACAAGACAATAGCAGGCCGCTGAGGCTGTATTAGGGCAGGGCTGTTGTGGTACTGGCAATAAAATATACAGCTTTGAAGCTGTAGTGAAAACGTAGTCTGCTTTGGATGACTTTTAAGCAGACTCTGCTGCTATACTATCACATTATACTGAACACAGGGAAAGCATTTAAGAACATAGCAGAGAGCCAAATATGACCAAGACAATTATAAGCCAACAGGTCAAATGAGCTGTAATTCTATCACTGGTAAAGTTGTGGCAAAAACCCCACCTTTCTTATCTCTAAAAGTAAGACAGAATTTCTTTCTGACTGAGCCTTTTGACACTTTGGTTTATTGTAGTGCTGTCCCTGCACAGCAAGTGTAGGTACTGTGTCTGACACAGCAGTTCACTGGTGCTCTGTTGCAAAGTTAAAGCACATATGGCAAACCTCTTGCAGTCCGTAAGAATAAAATAAATTATGACACTAAGATGGAGAAGGAAGCTATGTCTTATTTATAATAGGTGTATAGAACACAAGGGATATAAAGTGAGAGTTTTTCTTTTGTTCGTTCTTTCTTACTTTTTTGTTTTGGTTTGTTTTTTTTGTACTAATATATGTTTTGAGATTGCACAGAATCTACACCAGAAGATGTGAAATTCATTTGCGGCAATGAAATAGTCTTGTCATCGTTTTACATATATATATATATGTATATACACACAAATATATGTTTGTATATGCATATATGTATATATATATATATACAATTAAAAAAATAAACTACTTCTGGGAAAAACATCAGCCATCAAAAAGTAACGAGAGCATATTAAAAAAAAAAAAAAATCCAAAGCATCTCATAAGAGAGAATTAGGAAATATAAGGCCCAAAATATCAAGAAATCGGTGTTACTGCATCACGTATTTAACAATGACAAGGTGTGCCGGCATTTATTTTCTGTGTTGTGTTTTCCCTTGCCTTATGGGCTGATGTGTTCTGTAGATTTCATTGAGGTTCGTAGAGGGGGGTTTTCAGGTTAAAGTTTTCTCTTTAGCATGGCTGTTCCCCTAAAGCTCCCACCCTGGGGAGGAAATAAAAAAACTCCACTTTTATATGTGCTATGCAAATAGACATTTCTAACATAGTCATGTTACTATGGTAACACTTTGCTTTCTGATTTGGAAAGAAAATGTAGCAGCAGCATTTTGGGGTTCTCAGACCTCTGGTGAGCACCTGCAAAAAAAAAAAAAAAAGAAAAAAAAAAAAAAGAAGAAGAAAAAAAATCTGTCATATAAATGATCACTCTCTCTGTTTCCTGAACCTGAAAATGATGTTGGGATGTCGGTCCAAAAGAGAGAAACAAAACAAAAAAATCCCAACCCATGGTTCTGTGGAAGGTTACCATGGTGACTAACTACAGTACATATGTAATTCTTTTCAACAACCCTTCCTTTCTGTGAATCCATCCATACAAGGTTCTCTTGTAAGTCATTAAGATTTTATTTCGGGGGGAGGGGGGAAGAAGAGAAAAGATGGGTTTACTGATACTGATTTTTATTAAATCAAATCTGTGCTTCATCGGTTGGCTACATTCTAGTTATGTACTAAACTGTGAAAAAAAAAAAAATCAGACAAATTGCTCAAGAGCAACCTGCAACCAACTGAAAAGAAAAAAAAAAAAGTACTGTGCGTCTGTTTTTTGTCTGGTGCAGAATTATGACAATCTACCAACTGTTCCTTTATTTGACGTTGGTCCAGCTTTGAAAAGTTACTGTAAATGCCTTGCTTGTATGATCATCCCCAGTCACCCGACTTGGAATTTGCACCATCATGTCTAAGTGAAGATGCTGTAAATAGGTTCAGATTTACTGTATATGGATTTGGGGTGTTACAGTAGCCTTATTCACCTTTTTAAATAATAAAAAAAAAACCCACATGAAAACAAGACAAAAATGGCTTTTCTTAACCAGATTGTGTATATAGAGCAATGTTGGTTTTTTATAAAGTCTGAGCAAGATGTTTTGTATAAAATTTGAATTTTGCAATGTATTTAGCTACAGCTTGTTAAAAGGCGGTGTCATTCCCCTTTGCACTGTATTGAGGAAAAAAAATGGTATAAAAGGTTGCCAAATTGCCGCATATTTGTGCTGAAATTGTGTACCATGAATATTTATTTAAGAATTTCTTTGTCCAGTTTGTAAGTAACACAGTATTATGCTTGAGTTATAAATAATTTCTTCTTTCTTTTTTTTGTTTGTTTGTTTGTTTGTTTTGTTCTGTTTTAAAACTAGCCGGTCATAAGTTTGAAATCTACTTTAGTTACACATTACAATTAGTTCCCAGAAAATGAAAATTATGAAAATCACATTCCGCGTCTGTTTCAAACTGAATTTGTTCTTAAAAAAATAAAATATTTTTTTCCTATGGAAACTTGCCTTCTTTTCTTCTGTCATTTTTTTCTTTTCAAAATATGAAGGTAAATAATCAAGCCACCAAGTCTGCTTCCCTCTGCCCCTTCTTTCTTCTGTCTCTCTCTCTCTCCTGCACCCTGTCTTGCCATCCTGATTGCTCGTGTTTTATAATACACTGGCTTCTGTTAACCTACTTCTTTCCCAGAGTTATATCAGCAGATTTAAAAACACATAGGGGTCTTAAGTCCTTGGCAGTCAGTGAGCTTCAGTCAGGTGCAGTAGCCAGGTTGCCTGGATGATCTGGGAGGTGAGATTATAATCAGACAAATAATTCCCAGACATTATGTGGTGGATTTATACTGTGGTCAGAGACAGAGGGAAAAAAAAAAATGTACCCGAAGCGTTCTGGGGGTGTAGGTAGTGTTCCTGAGGAGTGTGAGCAGCAAGCCTGGGGTGGCAGGGCTGAGCAAGAAGGGACAGGAGATAGCAGACGTTGGGAGAATGGCAAAGCGTGAGAAATGCTGTAATGTCAAAACATCTCTGCATGGTTCTTTCAGTGGAGCCATGCACTCAACTGTCCTGTCCTTGCTTTACTGTGCCTCAAGTTAAAGGAGATGGAGGCCAGTATGTACAGGTGACACAAACCTTAATACAAAGTCTGTGGTTCTGTTGCTCTAATTTTCACTAGGATAACCAATTCTTTCATTTAATAAATAATACTTTAATTTATTGACAAAGCCCAGTCACCTTGAAAATGAAGCGCCTTTCAGTTTGTTACTAGCGCATAAATGGTGTGGTCATCCATGGAGTAACAGGTGGGAAGGTCTGCAGAGGAGAAAGGCACATTTGTCACTTTAACAACAGATGCCAATTTGTCAGAGTTTTCATTGAAGAAGGCAGCTAGTTATTCATAGCATTGGTCATGCAATTCCCATTTGTCAAATTCCTTTTTCTTTTATGAATAATCAGGGAAAAAATTACTGTATGACAAAGGCACTATATGTGTTGTCATGGCACAAGTATTCTGAAACCAGACGTAGAGAAAGCCCTAGAGACTGTTGAGTAGTTGGGCTAACATGGCTCTTGCTGAAGGAGCTCCTTTCATAGGTCCAGTTTACAGAACCTGTGCTGGAAGTTGACCTTAGAGGGAAAGCCACACAGCGCCACTTAGGTTCACCTCCTGGCTCTGCTGCAGATGTCCTTGGGAGAGTTACTTGGTCCAGCAGAAGGCATAAGTGTCCATGGTGGAGGGTGTGAGCATCCTCTGACTTCTCAGGTAAATCACTTGGGCCTAATCCTGCATTGACATTTGTGAGCCACTTCAAAGGAGGTAGTCCTGTGTACTCAGGGGCACATCCATACTTCGATGTATTGAGACTTCACTCCCTGCTTCATGCTTGTGCACAGGGGATTTCACTGGCTCCTCTCTGTGGGTTGTTGTGGGTCTCCTCATCGTTAATGGCTGTGAGATGCTCGGGTCTGGTCTGCGCTAAAAGCTTAGCTGGTCCAACCATCCGTTAGAGCCATGACTCTAGCCTGGTTAAGGCTAAGGCTATTGTTTTTATTTTAGGCCTTAATAAATGCTGGAAGATAGTGGTAAGAAAAATGATAGTGTCAAGCTTACATGGCATTTTCACTTCTGTGCCTATTTTTTCCTTTTATGATAAACATATTATTATATAACTATATATAAATTATATTTGTAACTGGCATGTATACTGACACCCCCGCACACCTATTTTTGTCACTGTTTTAGCAATGAGGAAAAAGCAGTGTTGCTATAAACAGTGTCTCCACTGAGGGGGAAAAAACGGTTGCTGGTGTAATTGTATCTGAACAGAGAAGGATGCTGGGTTAACAGGAGGGCCTTGCACACATACCTTCACAAACATAACAGAACCTCCACGAGTCTGCTAAACTCATTTCAGTAAGCGATATGACACAGTAAATGATGAGACACTCAGCATAAAGTCATTGACTTATAAGCCATCTTTTATAACTTGCAGAGGAAAAAGAATCATACTTGCATTTTGCACTGCTGCTGATGCTGCACTATTAATTATCAAACAAGCACAAAATCAGAATTTGCTGCCTTTATTATGAAACTTGTTCCCTGGCAAGAACTAGTCCAAGTCAATAGGCTCCGCTAAGTGGAAAATAAAATTATAATTCACAGTTGTTATCCATCTAGAGTGGAATAAGGATCTGTTACATAAAATAGTGCCTCACAAAGTAAGCATTGCAATGTTACTGCCTAGGTTTAAAATGTTACACCTCTTTATTTAGCCTTTCTCTTTATCTTTGCTCTGATGCATTGATCAAATGTTCACTCAGTCAGCAGTATGCTCGTTTTGATTCTAGGGGCACCGTAAATTTTCTTTTTGCAGAAAAGCT